GGGCGACGAGCTGGAGAAGCAGGACATTCCGTCGAAGAGTACAGCAAATTCAAGGTTCTTTAATCAATATGTTTGTGCTGTTTCTCATTTTTCACATCTGGATTGCTTGAGATGTGACTAGGCAGAACATCCATATCGTTACATTTAGGACTTGATCAAGCGAATGCTAACCTACGATCCTAAATTACGTATATCGCCATACTACGCTGTTCGACATCCATTCCTTAGACCAAAGACGACATCTCAGACTGGACAGTCTCCCGCTGCTGTCGACAGTCCGACAGTAAGTCGTTTTCCACAGTTCATAACAGTTCATAGCTGCTATACATAATTGAATGAAAAGCCTTTTCTCATTCTGTGTTGGTCGATCTTCCTCTTTGCTGTAAACAGCATATAAATTCTGAGTTATCTAATGTCTTTTGTTCTTATAGCACCAGACAGCTCCAAGGGCAGGTCAAGATGTTTGGGGAAGTCAGATGGACTGTAGTGAGGACATCACCCAGTCCACATTCGCGTACGCAAATTTTTATTCGCATTTTTTAACGTCTATCAGCACTCATTCTCGATTATAACAGCTACTTAACATCTTTTTGAGGGATTAAAATGTTTCAGAACGTCCTCAGGAGCAGCACCCTTAGCACAGCCACCACCAGTGAGTCAAAGAAAACCAGCAGTAGATGATACACCACAATTTGGCGGTCATTATTCACATTCCACAGGAGATGTCTACCGCCAACCTTCAGTTGGTATCTAGTCACGGCATATTAATCTCCTAAGCTGAAAAGTTTCGAATGTTTTAGGGTCCACAGCCGCATCGAAACCCAAGCTTCGATGAGACCCCTGGCCGACCGTATAACAATAAAATGCAAACGCTTCTATCCCAAGCGGCAGTACCTACGCATGTTAACAACACGCAGTATAATCCTGTTTTATACAACTGATAAGTTGTCAATTTTTGTAAGCTTTAGCATATTCCTACGGTGCTAGTCGATGCTGCCCCATCTCTCTCCTTTCTATCTAGAATAGTTTGGCTTATTACTAGGAGACACTATACAGTATTATTAGGAAAAACAATTTTGGACGATCACAACAGTATAGGTAATTTATGAAGCTGCGTTCTCAGGAGAATAGAGTTTGCAGCAAGAATGGTGTACCAACCTGCTGCATCTACACAGTTTGAATTAATTGTAGTTGTATAGGTTATGATATGATATCTGCTGAAAGATGTTGGTGTTACTTCATTCTCCTTGTACCTGGCGACATCGTCTTTCTGCCTCTGATATTGTGTTTAATTTTGTATTGTATGTTTATAATCGTTTATCGGTACTATCCAAGCTGGAGTTGAAAACGTTCCTATTGGCCGCTTATGTTTTTATATCTCTCACTGGGTATTGTCCATACCATAATAGTTCTATTCAATGTCTCAGAATCGTTTTT